GAAAATAATTTCAAATAAAATCAAATCAATCAAAAGTTCTCTATTCATGCAAGCCTATTACAGATTATTATGATATGTTAAATCTACCGTAAGCTCGTTAAATCTACCTACGAGCTAAGAAAAACTGACAGCTGACTGACAGAAACCTGTTATATTAATAATGCAATATATACACCTACATGTACAGAATTAAAAAAAAATATATTTCAGTAGATTTTCCAATTCTTCTCAGTATAATCTGTATACTGAACTGGACGGTACGAAGAAATATTAACGTACGTTACCTAGGACGTCCTAGGTAAATAAAGGATTGTTTATTTAATTTTAATATTTTAAAATGGCACAGGTGCAGTGGGTGGTTTGGCGCATCACCCTCTAGTAGGGGTGGCTGTAGGCGAGACCGAGAGCGGAGCGACTGCCCTCCGACGCGGCCTTCTAGGGGCCCTCACGAAACCGCTGAGTGCGACCGCGGATTTGGTCGCGTATGCTGGTCATGGACTCCTTACGCAAACCGGATGGGATCCCGTGCCACAGGTAACCGGCTGACTAGAGGACAACCCACTATTACAGCTCAAAAGTGAAAAAGGCCCAGATTCAGATGGAATAACAGCTGAGCTCCCGAAGGCTGGAGATACTCCTATATTTGTGGTACTTCAGGAACTCTTAAACTAGTAATTCCTTACTAAGAGAACTCCACAGACATGGACAAATTTTACCAGCTTATCTACTCCTTACTAGATGGCCATGTGCAAAATATATAAATTGATAAACTACATACAGTCTTCAACAGGTTGTCTACTGCATACTCGATGGTGTAAAAATGCACGGTCAAAAGGTGTGTCAAAATACACATTCATTTTTGCAAAAATTGCTTATAAACTAAAACGGTTAAGGTCAATTGCTCAGTTAATAAGTTTTATTTAATTATTTTTTTAAATTGACTTTAGGTTTTTTGTTTGCCATCTCACTAATTTCATGTCTGACTGGTCTTTTTATGTTTTATTTTTAGCCACGTGCTGTGTCGACCGAGAATGATCTAATCGGCAACGCGTGCTGGCGGCGGGACTGTGTACGGTGGACGTTCAGGTTGGCTGATCTCTCCGCGGTCACCGGCTTCGAGGTTTTACTTGACAATGCACCGCTACAACTACTAGTCACACATAAGGTACTATCGCCGTATTGATTTTTTATACTACGCCTATCTGATGGTAATCGGCATTGTATTACAATCTGAAGGTAAATTGCCACTTGTCAAGATTGATTGAATAATACCTAACTTCATGCTCATTTTATCATCCTCCACGGGTGTCCCGCCAGCGTAGATCATTGGCGTAGACGGTTTCATCATTCCATTATCATTCATAAAACAAAATTTATTCCAAGATACAAATACATAATAATATTGATATGTTGTTTATTTATATTAAAACGTATTCATTTCTAGTTCCTAGTGGTGGCAGACCCGGAAACGGAGCGTATAGTGGAAATGATAGACTTCAGATTCTGTACCCTGCATCCATATCAGGGACAAATTATAGAGGTAAGTAGACGAACACCCAGGTAGACATTGTAAAAAGTCTACCTAATGAATTTCTTGGCCTAGGCACAACGCTTTTGCAATCGTCGCTGGTTCGATTCCTCGCACGGTGCAAGTATTTGTATTTATGACTTTGATTGTTAGTATCGATCTGTATGTTTTCTATTTATAATATATCTATGTATGTGATAAAATAATTGGTATCCAGGTATTTACACCTTGCTTTTTACGGTATGTTTCAGTTGAAGGGTAAAATATGGGAGTGGGAATTACGGAGTACCGACGCGTAACACCTTAGTCTTCCAAAATAGCAACGTATGAGTGATACGCGTTACATACTGTAATGATGTATCGTTGTTCATGTTGTACATGGGATTTAGGGAGAGCAAATAGCTTATATAGCTTTGACTTGTGTTTGAAATGTTCCATTTGATTGTCTGTCCTAATCTATTGTTTTTTTTACTTTCTCCTTTTGTTTTCAAGCGGTAAGCTTGCTTTCTCACTCTTACACACATTTATTTTACCCTTGCACGCAACTTTTCACTTCATACATCAACCTATCCAATCCCACATGTATGTAAGTTATGTTTACCATTCCAGTTATATACAAAATATGTAATTATCAGTTCAGCCAGCAGCAATAACATAAAAAAACCAGCCTTATGTTCACACAACGTACATTACTATAGTCCGTTTATTTTCTCAGAGACAACCTGAGACCTGTTTTATTATAATCATATTCAAGCTAATTTGAAAAGATTATTCGTTGAGTTTCTTGTTAATTCTTCATAACTCGAAATCACTCCGAAGTGCCGTTGGATTTGACATATTATGATTGACTAACGGCCCTTCCAGGCTTTGCACGGGTGGACTTTTTTACTACATTTTACATTTTTATCTGATACTACCTAATTAAATTAATTAAATTTTTTATATTTTTTTATTTATAGTTTTTGTTGTTTTTTTTTATATTTTTCCTTATTCTGAGGTTTTAGGTGGATATATTCAACCTTACCCTTTTTTGTCTTAAAGGCTCACTGTACGCTACATTGGCAGTGGTATTTGTAGATGATAACAGTATATATTGATTTTTGGGAGATCCTACTCGAGAAAGGGCAACATATGAGAGAAGCACTCTTTTCTTAGGTCAACAACCGAAAACGTTTGTCCCTGTGATTTATTTATCGTAAGTGCAAACGATATCTTCACAGGAAACTGTAACCTTTTAAAAGATATAGGTAAATCCGTCGGAATCATCGGGATTCGCGGAATGTGAGCGAGCTGTCCGGCCGCGGGCCCAGTGATGATTGTTGCAATAACCACATTATCTCGTAATTCTTTAACAAAAGTCTTGCACCATTACACATACTGGGAGAGCTTAAATTTCTCAGTAGCATAATGGGAGTACCTTCTTTTAATTTTAGTTCGTGGGGTGACAAACCGGCAGGATTGAAGAAATTTAAAAATTCCTGTAGGTAGTGTGATTGTATGTCGAATGTTGCACACGGTGTCAAGAGATTTGTAGCATTTAAAATCACCCGGTACTTTTTTCGTAATTATTTTATTTCTCATTTATTGACTCGTTTCGCGGTGACACTATAGATAATAGATTGTGCCAGTCCAACAATACTTGGGAGCTATTTGCAATTGTCCTGCCGAGCCAGTGATAATTGTTGCTACATTTGAATTGTCCTTCAATACCTTAGTAAGCAACCTCGTTCCATTGCACAAGTTCGGTGGACTTAAATTTTTCAAAAGCATGATTGGAATTCCGATTTTTAACGTCAATTCGTGTGGTGGCAGTCCAGAAGGGATTATTGAAGTTAAGAATTCCGGTGAATGACTGAACTTCATCTTCGATATTAGCGACGGTGTCGGTTGATATGTAATTTTTGTTTATTTCGTTGACAGTATCATTCCTAGGTGACACAATTACCCTAGAATACAACCAATGAAAGTTTTTTCGAGCAAATTCTTGAGGTCAAGATATACGGCATCTATCAAAATTTCTGAATTATGGACCATTTCACCTAAGGACTAATCCATAAATATATCATAATTTTTGTTTAAATTTGGAGTAGGAAAAATTCTTTCCCCAAGTTTGAGCAGTTGTTGTGGAAAATCACTGTCTGTAATTCCGTGAAGATGAGCTCTCATGTGCGTTCGTAATTTTCAACTTTCAATTAATGATCATAAGGGAGATCATTTCAAGCATGCTGTTATGATATCTGCTCGCGTACCTACATTAATGACAGGGAGTCTGTCGGATATCTCCAGCAAATACAAAAGTAATCCATCCCATGAGAGCAGAGGTATTTATAAGATCTTTTAAGGTACTATCCTCGGCCTCTATATGTGCTCTATGACTCATGGTGCATTCATTCCACAAAGGCATCTCGTAGTAATTTACCATCGAAATACTATCTTGTAGTAATTTATCAGCAATTTTTTTTCCATGCTTTAAGAGAGGTGCAACAATTCCTGACGAAGTAACTGCTATCGCTATTTTTCCTGATTATCTTAGCAAGTATCCCCTCCCGTACCCCAGTGACGCCCCTACATAGCTACGTTACATACATTTGGTTTATAGCTAACCGAGCGGGGTTTTTTTCTACTACTTACATTTTTAAATACGTGATATCTTTCGAATGGTGTAAATTGAATAATTCAAAAAGTTATGTAAAGTTACTGAACCAGTCGTGAATATAAAGTAATTTATTTTGATAAGGATTAATAGCAAGATACTAATAAACGGCTTATTCTTGCGGCGGCATTTTAATTAAATTTATAAATTAAAAGAACACTTATTGTGACATAACTATAATAGTTGGACATATAGCCTATGTTACTCGTGGATAATGTAGCTTTCGAATGGTGAAAGAATTTTTAAAATCGGTCCAGTAGTTTTTGAGCCTATTCATTACAACCAAACAAACAAACAAACAAACAAACAAACAAAGTTTTCCTCTTTATAATAATAAACTGCCTAGCCGTTCTAGGCAGTTTATTTATTTTTTATATTTGAGAAAAATTCTCTACGTTCTTTAGGTTATGAGTCCGTACTCATAACCTAAAGAACGTAGATAATTTTTGCTATTTTTTTTTATTATTATTTAAATAACTATTGAAATTATTATAATATGCATAGTTATTTAAATGATAATGACATATTTAAAAAATGTTTAACATTTAATGTTGCACATCTAATCACATATAGAGGAGACTGACAAAGTAATTTACCACAAATGTATACTTGGCAAAATAAAAATAAATGTGTATTCTGACGCAGATCAGTGCGGCGGCAATGGCTCGCGTGGCGCGGTATACCGGCGCGGAAGGCACGAACACGGCAGAAGCTCGCGTACTAGCTTTCCTGCCTGGGCCGGCTCGCTCTTATGCGTTATACGCGACGTTAACAAGCGCTATACACCACAACGCAGATACGCACTTCTCGCTCTTGTGACTCGCTAGTGACGTCACCGTAATGCGCCCCAGTGACTGACACACACGGTCAGATATACATTCCTATTGTTAAGCGTGTATTACACGATATACAAGCGTCTCTAATGCTAATTATAACATTAATTATTACAGTTGTCAATAACTGAAATAATTATTAATAATTAATTTATATTATGATAATGCGATAAAAGAAATTGTTTTGTATGGAGCCGCGTGGCCTTGATGAATAATGAAAATATATTTATTGATAGATATTTTATTATACATTATGTATATTACATATAATGCATGTGGCGAGAATATATCGTTGATAAATGATGCATTTCTTTTTAAATTCAATGTAAAGTTCAAAAATTGTTATAAAATTAGGCGAAGGCCAGGTGATATTATCATTAATTTTGAATGAATGGTCACAGAAATGCAACACTTCAGATTTCCTTTGAAATTACACAATATGAGATCCCTTTGCTGAGAAGGCTGGTTTTGACAGTGTAATGCACGCTTTATTCATTTTGAACTACAAGGTATTCTTAGATATAAATATTAAATATATTATTATAGAAATATTTAATTAATATATTGTATAGTGGAAGAAAGAAGAGTGCAAATAGTAAAACGTTTAATGTGATGTTACCGATGGATACAGAAGAATAGAAGTTTTTCAATATTAATGTGTGGACGTTATGGATGAGGACGAGCGAAATAGGATAGATGGACTGTATTATTGGTAATATGCATCAAGAGTAAGCTCGGATATGACGGTTCATTAAAATCGTAGGATGTTTTGCCGATACTAAAGGATGGGATATACCCATTCTTTAGGATCGGCACTCAGCCGGCACATAGCTGTACTGATTAGTGCGATGTACAAAGCTGACATCAGCAATAGCAAACATTCGCACTATGAGAATACTGTATCAGTATCACACGATGATGTTTAAACTGATTTCACGAATATACTGGAAGAAGATTATTGAATACATTGGAACATTTATTATTGTATTGAAATTGTTTACTGAACATATTATATTGCCTTAATTATAAATTGTTGAGCAATAAAACGACAAATTTGTAATGTTTAAGAGGTTTTGTAATTTATAGATTGTTATTACTGTCTACTGTACTAAATGGTCACACAGGATGGTGCTAAGAGCTGGTGACTTCGTGCCATCTTATGCGATAGTCATATTTGCCGCCTATACATGACACATTGTTTCAGTCGCGACCAGGAGCGCGCACGATTTAGCGCGGGAAAGCCAGCGCACGCAATCAAGAGTTTTGCTATTTTCCTGTGATCACTCTCCTGTGATCAGTGACAAATTTAAAATTATCAATAACTCCATAGTATGTTCTCTGCTTTATAGGCAGAAATCATCCGTTCTGCAATAATAATAATTAATTATTATAAAAAGACGCTAAAGGGCGCGGGAATGCGGGAACTGACGGTGCGCGGGCTTTCTCTTATATAGATTATTCACGTGTACATTCCGTATGTTCCGAGAAGGAAGCTGATTCTTGTGTAAAATAGCGTACGTGTCAAGGCAGCGTTTGTATAGACTCACAGTCATTCTATATCATCACCACCATCTTAATGCTAAATTATATCACAAATCATACCTTTTCTATGTTTTTCGCCATTTCACTTAAATTTCAAATATTAAAATTCTTCATTAAGTGAAGTACAGGTTAACAAATGAATAACAGAATAAATAACAATTTTCACTGCTTTCTGTAATTACTCGTTCAAATATGTGATCTAATTACATTGTTTTTACATATTCTTGATATATATATACTTATGAAAAAAAAACAGAAGTAATTTTTACAACACGTCAGTCTGCGCCATTAAACAGATTAAAATATATTTTGAAATGTGTGTATTGGTGTGTGAAAGAATTTAGCATTACAATGTGGAAACTTCTTATTCCAACCAATAAATGTGTAAGATATTTTATGACATACAATTTGAGTGCAAACTTGAATTCTATCTGCACAGAACTGTGTTCTAAGTATTATATTTAAATTATTCGTTAATGATTATAGATATTAGTGATATAATTATTAATTTAAATAATATAAACTTGCTTTTTTGTCATTGTTCAATCATATATTTAAATTTTTGTCTTCCAATGCGTCACACTACAGTGTTCCAATACAATGGCACAGCAAATTAATAATATAAAATAAAACCGAAATTTTATATGAACAAAAAAATCAAGTTTAATTTTTATTGTACATTAAATTACTAATATTGATATATTAGAATATGTGTAATATATAATTTTATTTATTGAATTTCCATTTTAAATAATTCGTACTATAATAAGTATTTAAAATAATAATACAATATTTTATGATATCCTATACAATTATTAAATTGTTTAGTTAGTTAATAATACAGTTCAACAAAGATTATCATGTTTCTGTTAATCCAATAGTATAATATATCATAATTATAATAAACAAGTTATTAAAATAGTATAATTTTTATGGTAATACCACTTGTATCAAATATGTTCCGAGAGTAAACTGCGGTGCGAGCATGTGTGCAGCAATAAATTGTAACAGATTTTAGTGTAGAAGTTACTGAAAATGATGTGACAATTTATGGGTTTATGGAAACCAACATGTCCGGTTTTTTCCATGTTCATCATCTCGTACTGAAGTCTGATTTATAATTAAATGGAGAGTGGGTTTGTGCCAATAGTTTAACATTTCACATATTGTACACTTTGCAAATCGGTCCGGTGTCTTATTTTACTGTATTGGATTATAAGTCATATAGTCTAGGTATTAAAAGGTATTTTAGTCATAAATAATTCTCAGTAATAATGTGTAAAAATCTTGTCGTGTACGATCATTATTAGGAAAGTATTAGTGACTAGTTTTTAATTGCGATTTCGTTCTGGAGACATCTTGTTTATCCGTAATATAACATACATATTGTATCCCATACCGAATTCTACTTGTATAACAAGTTTTATCACCGTTGTGTTGAACCGTTAATACATTAGTAATTAACAAACAAAAGTGGGAAGTACGTTTTAGTTTCGGTTTAAAGATTCATCTTAAGATTTCGTATATATGCCATTGATATCGGTAGTGTAGCGGTTTTACACACCGCTTTACTTCCAATGATCGTGGGTTCGTTTCATCGCATATACAAACTGTTGTATTCTTGAGTATGATTGTATCGATCTGAGTGTTTTGTATGTATATTATGTATGTATTTAAAAAATGTATTGATATCAGTTGTCTAGTACCCAGCTATCTTATCTCTGCTTAGCTTGGAACTAGATGGCGCTGTATAAGTTGTCCTGAGATATTATTATTATATAAGTAGTATTTGGGATGGATGATAAATAATACTACTTTGTATTGAGACTAAACATGGTCATGCAGACGAAATTGCAGACAGAAACTAGTTGTAATCTAGCTAACAAGTATATGTATGCAGTAAATAACCGTGAATGTTTTATAGTAGTCCTACATTGTTATGTACGTACGTTAAAATATGGTTGGTGATGCCTCGTTCAAAGGCCACGAAAAACGTGTCGCAATGTGGGTGCAGACTCAATAACGGTCGGAATTTTATCACCAATAGAGAAGGTCGTAACGGTAGCCAAGTTTCCACTCGGATTTATTTATGATATCACACATGCTAAAGGTAGAGCAATTAAACAAAATAATATAAGTAGTACAGTTATTTGTATGGATTTTCAATATATTGAATGAAATGTGTTCAAATATTTAAAACTTTATACTGTATAAATGTCGGTATAGAGAGTTAGTCATTTGTTATACTAAACCTAATAGCCAGTGTTAGTATGCATGGAACTGCACGACTGTCTTCCTAACAAATGTCTGTCTTCCTAAATGATAAATTTGCATTCATTTATAATATTTCTTCTTATTATACAGAAGATACAATTTTTATTTTTATATTCTAATTTACCGTAGTTCTGTGGGTCCTGAAGTTGTAAATTAATAATTTCGCTATCTTAACTTGTATATATATATAATGTATATATATATATATATATATATATACATTACAGAATAACACCTTACCGCCGCACTCAGAGACGTCCAACGGTTACTTAAGCAATTTCTGAGTGCAAATTTCAATATTATACTACTCAAAGACAGCTAATGGTTGATTAGTAATACGTTTTCAGGTTATTTTGAATTGGACTTTTATGACACCTACAAGGTATTTTAACAAATTTAACAACATAAATCATGCGCGGATTTCAGACTGAACTTTGATATATATTTATTTCCGTAATCAAAAATATAAAAGCTGATTATTTTTCAATATACTAAAAATATTTATTTTACCTTTTTTAAATTTAAAAACATGCAGATTAAATAGTAGTCTATTTAAAAAAAATCTAAATAATTACATAAATTAGATATATAAATATAAATCGAAATCACATGCTGGGAATTTAAAATACCATTGCTTCATCGAATTGCAGTTGATAGCATGAATCTTATAAATCCATTAAAGCTGTCAATAGTTAATCAACTATTAAATTTTGGTTATGGGAGACACGGCCCATAAACAGATTTAAGAATACTTAACTAAATATTCATTACCAATAATTTAAAAAACCTTTCTGAGTGCGGCTGTTAGTCCACTGAAATGGTGACAGTCTCATGATAACCTGATGACTATAGGCAACAGTTACCAGCTACCATCAGGTGAACTTTCTGCTTGTTTGCCTTTTCAATTACATATAAAAGACAGTGCTTCAGTTTCACGAAGGCATACCAAGTTCTTGGCTTATTATTGGCGACTAACTCTGTATATTACATTTATGAGTCTATTTTATTAAGTAATCAATTTAATTAGATAGTACATTTAATGTGATCAATGATTGTAGTTCAAACGAAAAGTGACTAATTAACAAATGTTACCAAAATTTAATTAATATACAATTTGTAATGTGTAATTGTTGAGTCACAAAAAATGGCTTTAAGACAATGGCAGTATTA